CCAGTATCTCAGGAAATATCGATTTCCGAAGTTCATTATGATAATTATTTCAATACGATTCGGTCCTTAAACTGGATTTTAGACATTTATTTTTTGCAATGTAGACATTTTCATATGGTAACATAGGGCATAGTTTGCCAAAAAGGTATATGAATGTACGGACTGAATGAAGTCGATTCAAATATGAAAGGTTTCACCAAAGATGCTACATCTGCCCGATTTGACATTGTACAAATACATCTAAAATTGTCAGTATAAATAGTCTTGTAGGTTACAACTAGATCCTTGTATGTATCCATAGTAGTTTGGGCTATGTTGTAGTTGACCCAGTTCGACTTTCGTCTTTTTCTTACTAATTAAATATTTTTTATAGATAATCTTTCCCGATCTATCTGATATGAATGTTAAACCATTGAAAAAATCTCAAGTGACTATAACAGGGACCATAGAAGGTGTCTATAAGGCACGACAACAATTACTTGTGAGTAGACCTATATTTGTCCACACATATACATGTTTATATTTTCTAACAAAAAATACATAGGGTAATTTACCGATTGCCTTAATATTTGACTTTCCCGACAATCAAAACGATGCCTCTGAAATAATGAGCCTTAGCACTAAATATGGCGTTTATATAACATTGCGCCAGAAGCAAAGACAAAGCACTTTGGCCATTGTTATTAAAGGAGTCGAAAAGTTTATAGGTAAGTTGAAAGGTTTGTAAAATATTATATACATACACATATTCATATTTGTTTTTTCTTTTACATATTTTTATCGACAGACAAAATCTACGAAGCCCGTCAAGAGATTTTACGTTTGACAACACCCCTGATTAAGCCGGAAATACCGGAACGATATTTTATGCCACAGGACAAAGATTACAATTTGGCCTATCGCACCACACTGACAGCATTATTGGCTGGCTATAACGAAAGTCCCAAAACACCCAATGTAATGCCGGCCACAACCGGACACATATCATTGTCGCCCTATGGCAACAATAACAATTTGTTGCTTAACAATAACAACAACAATAATAATCTTTTGAACAACAACAATAATAACAATGCCAACTTAAATCAGTTGAATCGACAACAATTCGGTGGTCTCTATCCCACCACACCGACAGGCATTTGTTCGCCAACACAAAAATATTTGCAGATACATAATAGCAATTATGCTAGGCAGCAGCAACAACAACAGCAGCAGATTCAACCTCAGCAGCAGCCACCACATCTGCAACATCAACATCACAACAATAATTATTTACAGGTACTGCAGCAGCAACAACAACAGCAGCAACATCACCATCATCATCAACAACAGCAGCAGCAACAACAAATTCAACAAACACAAATGCAGCCACCAAATCATATGATCCAGGCACAGCAACAACAACACGTGCCACAAACTCATAACATATCACCACGCAATAGCTGCAGCAACAACACCAGTGGCTATCAAAGTTTCAGCAGTAGTACAACATCATTGGAACAGGCCTATCCACCATTTGGTAATGCTTTGGGTGTTAACACCAACAATGGAGTCAATGGGCCATCTCTGCTTAACGGAAATCGACCCTCACCATTCTCACCCGATTCAAATTATAGCAGTGAGGCAGGTTGCAGTCGTCTGGGCCGGCGATCCAGTGATGGTGTTCTATTGGGTTTGGGCGCTTCAGGACCGATTGGACCTATGGTACCCGGTAGCGCTGAAAGTTATCGTAACTCTCACTATGACTTGAAGGTAAGGGTGAAGGGGTAATTTCAGTCATTTGTGTCTAAGCCTCTTTGGCATTAATCCTCTTCGCTCCTGCGACATTCTAAAAGGAATATGTAGTCGTACCCTCGTGTTCAGACCCGCATTCAGTTTCTAATTTGCCTTTGCATTACAGCACAATCGTACTTTTGATTTTGACATTAAACGCGCTATGGGTTTCAAGGCCATGGAACGTCCACCAGTTGCTGGAGAATTACGCACACCCACACCCAGTTGGATGGGTATGGGTTTAAGTCGCACTTCACCAGTTCCAATGGAAACAGTTGATGATCTATCACCGTGGCATCGTGGACCAACTGGTTTGGGTGTAGGGGGTGGAGCTGGACCTCTGGTCTCACCTTATGGGTTGGGTTCAACAACGGGTATTGTTGACTCAACGCCAACAAATCGCCGACTTCAATTGACCCAATACAAGGATATACATTCCTTGTTGACATCTCTGGGTTTGGAACATTACATCAGTAAGTGTGTGAACGAGAGAGAAGGAGAGTGTGAGAAAATTACTTTTATTTTGTTGCTCTTTTTTAGAAATTTTCGTTTTAAACGAAATCGATTTGGAAATGTTTATGACCCTTACAGAGGAGAATCTTATGGAATTGGGTATAACAGCCTTTGGAGCACGCAAGAAAATGCTGGTTGCCATACACACCTTGCAGGCCAACGAGGCAACCACTTCAACGATGCCGCAAACATCATCGAATGCATCATCACCACGATTTTCAGGTTCGGCTGCACCTGGGGCTGAACGTAGACCCTCAAATCAGTGGTAAATCAGCTGAAACTGCTGAGTATTTTTTCCAAAAAAAAAAACATAAATTGTAAATTGTGAAGGAAAATTTTTTGATTTTCTTAAAAATTAGTTCTTGCCCCAAGCGGGATTTTTACAATCTTCAGAAAATTTTATGTTTACAATTAAAGTTTTTTCTTTTCATTTTCTTATTATTTTTTTTTCTTATTATTAATTTTTTTGCATGCCTTTCTATATAGAGACATTTCTTATTAATTTATTAACTTTTTTTGAATTTTTTGAAATATTTACAAAACTATTTTCCATCTGATAAAAAAACGATAAAAAAGACTTTCTTCGCAACATGAAATTCTGTAGAAATAAAAATTAACCCCATACAATTTTTATTCTTCTTCAAAATCTCTACACAATAAAAACATACATTTTGTAAAGTAATCAACTGTTGTCTTATGAAATTTAATTAATAAATTTTATAACACATAACATATAACAAAACTAAAAAACTAAAGCAACAAAAACCAACAAGAACTTTTTTCTGAAATTCACCAAAAAAATTATGACTTATACTCGTATTTGTACACAAATTTCTTCAAAAAAGACAATAGGTTGGTCTACTTTACAAATCTCGTTTTCCTTTGTAGAGACCACCACACTAATTGATTGATGATTTCATATTTCATTTTTTTTCTGATCTCATATTCCGAAGTCTTTATCCAATTTTCTATTTATTTAATTTATTTTCTTTGTATTTATTTTTTATTCTTATTATAATTTATTTTTTTATTACTATATATTTATTATTTTTTGTAACGAAGTATTATTTTGAACTTTATCCATTATCATTATCATCAAAACCATGAACTTTGAAATTTGAAACACACCCACACATTTGTATCATTTTGTATTTATTAAGTTGTAACTACTATTCTCAAACAATTGTTAAAACAATAAATTGAAAACAAACAAAAAAATTATGAAATTGAAAACAAGAAATAAACACACCCAAATCTTTTCAGATAACAAAACAGATTTTTTTATTTCACTATGCATATCAAATTTTGAATGCGAATTAGGGTTAAGATGTAGAGTCTATATAAGGATATGGTTTTGAAAGCGTGTACTCATGTGTGCGAAAAGTACTACATATTTGGTACAAATTAAATTTGGAGGTACAAATCGAGCTGGAATCCTGAAAATTGGAAATCTTTTACTTATGTGTAAGAAAAGTACTAAATTGTACTACAATTGGTACAATTTGGATTTGGGTGAACCGATAGAGCTGGAACAATGCTGGAACAGTTTAAGAAATTAATACGTATGGGTACTAAATGGTACTAAATTTGGTACAATTTAAATTTTTAGTGGACTGGTGGAGCTGTAGTCCTGAAATTTGAAGTTAGGATCTCTATTGGGGTGTGAGATTGAGATATGTAGGCAGTTTTGGAAATTTTTACTAAATGTGGTACAATTTAAATTGTGGGTTAAGCGATAGAGTTGGAATCCTGAAATATGGATTTAGGATCACTGTGAGGGTGCAGGTTTTGGTTAAGTAGGAAACAATTCGTATTACTCTGTACTAAATTTGGTACAATTTGAATTGTGGGTGAACCGATAGAGTTGGAATGCTGAAACTTGGATTTAGGATGATTGTGGAGGTGTAGAATTGGGTATGTAGGAAGTTTTGGAAATTGGTACTATTATGTACTAAATTTAGTACAATTTGTATTGTGGGTGAACCGAAAGAGTTGGAAACCTGAAACTTGGATTTAGGATCACTGTGAAATTTGTACAAATGTGTACTAAATTTGCTACAATTAAAATTGTGAGTGAATCGATAGAGTGGGAATTCTGATATTTGGAGTGTACTAAATTTTGTACAATTTGAATTCTTGGTGAACCGATAGAGTTGGAATCCTGAAACTTGGATTAAGGATCACTGTGGGGGTGTAGGATTGGGTTAAGTAAAAAGTTTTGGAAATTCTTACTACTGTCTACTAAATTTTGTACAATTTGAATTGTTGGTGAACCAAAAGAGTGGGAATCCTGAAATTTGAATTTGAAATCATTGTGGGGGTGTAGGATCGGGGTATGCAGGAAGTTTTGTTGGATGGTTGAGGTGGGTACTTATGGAAATAATGTGTGCTATATGGAACTAAATTTGGTAAAATTTGGATTTAGGTGAACCTTTAGAGCTCGAAACATGAAATTATGTACTAAATTTAATTTAATGTCGATATTAATGTGTGGATTGTTTACTTGTTCTGACATATGCAATTTTCTATGAAAATAAATATGTTAATATGTGTTTAAATATATCCCACATTCGCTAACGAAGTAGCAGACGTATGCTAGTAATAATAATTCCGTTATAGCTTTCTAATAGGATAAGTTTTTTAATACGTTTTCCACAAAGTTGATCGTAATCCCAGTTTTTTGTTTTATAAAACAAAAAATAATTATTAACGGAAAAAGTATGGTATTGTCCAAAAAGGGTTATGACATGAAATGGAAGAACTCTATATTTCAGATGTCGCCACTGACCTTCATCAGTTACCTTAGTTTTTTGTTAGGGAGCTATATCAAAATCTGAACCAATTTTCCTAAAACTTAGCACACTTTATTCTAGGCTTAATTCAGAACGCTGTACGCGATCCTCCCCAATTTCAATAGTGTTCGTCTTTAGGCCAAACAAATGAGCTGTACCAAATTCCATCTAAATCGGATTATGAATGCGACCTGTACTTTGTTTACAATTTAAATTTTAAAACCAAGAGACATGCATAAATCGACTCAGAAAGTGATTCTATGCATATTCTCAAAAGGAACCATGGGTCTATCTCGTTTCATTTTGAATGTTACAAACATATGCACAAATACACAGTGTGGTGAAGGGAATACAAATTCCTGAACGGAATCTACGAGACCAAAATTGCACATGATTAGCTCTTACAGTATCGGAACCATTTTTTTGGCCGCTTGGCTTGAATTTTCGCCGTTGTCAAAGATAAACTGTAAAATGTACCGAATTTTCTCTTTGTTCACTTCCATTTTGAACACTCTGTAACTCACAACTGAATGCAACAGCAAAATATTTTTTACTTCGAAATGTCACCTTTCCAACCAGCATAAATCTGAAATTGTTTGATCGATACTTTACGAGAAATCTATCAGTACAGTCATCTGCCGAAAAAATAATGGATTTATTTTTCCCCAACCTACTATTTTTGATCAAATATATGTTGTACTACTCGAACAACAGATTTCATATACTATATGCCAATATTAATCGATATTTCCTTACATACTGCAATAATATTCCGACCTTTTTTAAACCAGTATGGAAAGTTCAAAAGTCGTACGGGGCCGACTATATGATAGCCTTCACCACTTTGGGTACATGCAATAGATGTTAATATCTACAATATCCTGTAGATAGAACGGTCATAGAATCTTTGGAGGACCATTGAGATGAAATCGGGCGAAATTAAATGTGCTATCTAGATAAATATTTGAACCAATTGAAAAACCTCAAACACATACCATTCTAAAATCAATGAAAAATTGCATGTCAAACGGACAGACTTGGATTCTTTGGTGTACCATTTGTATGAAATCGAGTCAAATTATGTATGGAAGCTATATATAAACACATGGACCTAATTGAGTAACCGTTTCATTCACCATTTGTTTTTTTGTAATCACTATATTCAATGTAATACCCTCTGCTAAATTTCGTGTAACCACCATTTACATAAAAATATATACGAGAACCTATTTCAAAATCTGAACCGATTTCAACAAACCTTATCACGCATCATTTTTTCTCAATAGCATTCGCTATGCAAAATTTTACTCAATCAGACAAATATTGGGAGTTTGGTGTATCATTCACCAAAAATCGAACGAAACTATGTATGGGAGCTATATCTAAATCTGAACCGATTTAAAAAAAAAAACTTCGCAGACATCAATCTGAATATGATTCAGTACTATGTGACAAAATTTTGTCTCAATTGGACAAATATTGGGAGTTTGGTACATCATTCACCAAAAATCGGACGAAACTATATATAGGAGCTATATCTAAATCTGAACCAATTTCAACAAAACTTTGCATACATTAGTCTGTACATAATTCAGTACTCTGTGCAAAATTTTGCGCCAATCGGACAAATATTGGGAGTTTGGTGTATCATTCACCAAAAATCGGACGAGCTATATCTAAATCTGAACCGATTTTAACAAAACTTCGCAGACATCAGTCTGGACCTAATCCAGAACTCTGTGCAAAATTTTGTGCCAATCGGACAAATATTGGGAGTTTGGTGCATCATTTACATATAATCGAACGAAGCTATATGTGGGAGCTATATCTAAATCTGAACCGATTTACTCCAATTTCAATAAGGTTCGTCCTTGGGCCAAATAAGTGAACTGTACCAAATTTCATCCAAATCGGATCATAAATGCGACCTGTACTTTGTTAACAAAAATACATGGACGGACGGACATGCGTAAATCGACTCAGAAAGTGATTCTATGCATATTCTCAAAAGGAACCATGGGTCTATCTCGATTCCTTTTATCTGTTACAAACACATAATACCCTGTACCTGTGTGAGACGAAGAGTATAAAAATCCTTTCAAAATCGAGTAGTTTTTAGCACAGTTCATGTTTTAATTATGTGACCATCACTGTATATGCGCTAATAATCTGTACCGCAGTATGGTATTTTACGAGTATTAAAATTCTAATTCAAGCCATAATACCCTGTACCAAAGTTTGATGAAGAGTGTAACAAGGGCATAAGTATACCACTTCCTCATAAATATTTGGTCTCTAGTTTGAAAATCACAATTCCTTGGAAAAGTTGTTACTAGTAAAGACAACCACCTTCACTAGTTTGCAACGACAGCAAACGACAACGACACAACATAGTTTGAAGTTTACGTCCAGAGTTACCCCAACAACGCGTAAAATAATTATTAAGCAGAGACAGAAACACGTTTCATTATTATAAA